TGTAAGGCCTTCAGGTTAGTGTAACAAGAATGCTTCCTTTGCCTGCTGCATAGGATGTTGGTCAAACTCGGGTGTGGAGAGAAGAAAAGAGAGAGCATCTGAGATCTCTGGTGCCTGTGAGTGTGTGGTGAGTGTGTGAGAATATGCTGTGCTTGCTACTATTTGTTGTGTGTGTGTGCATGTGTGAGGGTGTGTGGGTATGTGTACACACACACACACACACACACACACACACACACACAGGCATTTACCTCTTTATTGAGAACATATGGACTTCCAGGTTTTTATGCCAAGCCATACGTTTCTGTCTGGCATCATCTGGCTCAAATTTGATTAAAACTATCCAGTCCTGCGATTTGCTTCTTTGTTACATATTATCTAAATCATATGAATGAGGATACCCATTAAAAAAGGCGTGCTTAGGGCAGAGGAGAACTTGCTGTAATTATCCTTTTGCAGTTTTAGGGGAAATGAAGGATGTGAAAACTTCAACAGAAACATAAAACCCACTGTATTATAATAATTGCTTGACTCCGATATAATCTGTATTTTTGGTGGTATTTTATATTTTAATTCATAACTTTACACTAAACAAGATCCCAAAGTGGGAAAACATTGTGGGAAAATTCTATGATTTTAAATATAGCGGGCAGCTGGAAAGAGTGTAAATGTGTGTGCTGATATGAGGGGTATGTTAAGGGGCTCTCAGCTGTGAGTATTTTTGGTAAATATCTGCGAAAATATTATAGAACACATACCATGGGAGAAAGATCAGAAAGCTTATAGGTTCTTAACCACATAATAGGTAAATTCCATGGGGGAATTACCTATTATTCCATGGGGGAATGGAAACTAATTCTTGTAGACAAGATGAGAGGCCCATCTAAAGAACTGTTTTGGCTAACACGGATTTCCTTTTCTTTTGCTTAAGAGACCAAATATGGAATTTTGCCTGAAAAAAATGGATCAAATTCTGGGTGGCCCCAGGGGAAAGGCTAGAATGGTGTTGTTTTAGTTTTTCTTGAAAGAAAAGGAACTTAAAAATTTGTTCCAAGACCCTTACTAAGGTGACATGAACAGCAGGATGTGATCACAGGGTAAATAAAATCCCCAGGTCACTTTGGCCTTGGATTCCATCCAGTAATTCTAATTCACTATTATATTATTGTTACAAAGGCAAAATGCACATGTGGCCCTTCATACCATTACTTTTTTTTTTTTTTTTTGGTTATAGAAGGGCTGTGGTTTGGGGAAGAAGGTTAGTGCTATGTTTCTTCTGTCTTCATTATTAGGAAGATGTGTGTATGTGTCCATAGAACTAGACTCTTCCTTGTATTTTAAAATGGTGATCCAGGTTAAATTGCATGCCCAGAGGAGGGTTCTTGGCCTGTTCTCCTGATAGAATATCACTTTCTGAACCTTTAGATAAAGCACTCATCTCGAGCTATCTGTCTGCCATTTTGAAATATTATTAGAGCTAAAACATTGTATTTTTAGTGAATGTTCAGAGTTTCATTTTATTAAGTGGGATACAAACTGGTGATGGCATATTTGCATTATAAAAATGTGGGTAATATTGTCATCACACATTTTATTCAATTGTTTTTCTACCACTCTATTAAGCAATAATGATGTATAGAAAAGGATATAACAGGCTGTAAAAATGTCAATGCTAGTGTTGCTTTGAGAGTGAGTCCTTTAATTTTTACTATCTTTTCCTTTTTATTCCATCTCATCATCATGTGGAAAGGGTTTGCTGTTTCTTTCTTTTTTTTTTTTTTGAATTAGTGAACTTAATCTTTCAGTTTGCTCTGACATGTTAGGGAAGTGTTTTGAATGAACCTCCATGACCAACAAAATAAGAAAGAGCTGCTGACTTATGAGAAAGAAAGCATTTGAAAAAAATTTAAAATATACAAACCTACTTGCCTTGGATAGAGTGATGGAGATATAAGTGTGTGCACACAAGTTCAGGTGCATAAAACCTCAGGTCGAAATAGATGCTTGCCCAGCAAGGTGATTTACCACTTGAGAGAGAATAAAGAAACTAGCAATATCCAGGTTTTCTACTGCTGTTTCCAGTGATGCTACTGGAAACTCTCATCCTCCAGGAGAAAGGAAAGGAGCATATCTCTCCTGTGGTGAAATCACTGAGAAGGACCAAAAGCTCATTCTTTGTCGTACTTCACACTGAGTGCTTTACACAGAGAAGCAGCCCAATTAATGCCTGTGGAATTGAATTTATTGAATTGCACTGAAGGAAAAAGAGGACTCAAGGGATTTGGAGATGTCAAAGAGTATATTCCAAGAGGGTCAGTTTCAAGCAGAGGCTGAAAATTTAAATCTCTGGATTTTTCTGTTGGGAACTGGATATGTATATGTCTCAAATAGGAAAAAAATTATATATATATATATATATAAATGTCATTTATATACAATATGTAAAAGAATATACTGTTTTCCAACTAACATTACTTAAATACACCTGGAGCCAAAATTTGTTCATTTTCCTTTATATTCTTAGAAATTTTTGAGTGAGGAAAACCAGGTAAGGTGATAAAAATGGCATATTTCTTAATTAATTAAGACTCCTAGTGGAAAAAGTTTATCCATTAAATTAAAATTTAAGTTATTTTTGAATTTGAATTAATTTAAAAAGTCAAAATATTTTTGGCATTGGTTAACAGGGAATTCTTTAAAATGTTTTTATAAATCAATTAAAATTTCAGGTTTTCTTCAAAATTTGAAGATAAAGTCCTGTTTGGGCTATGATAAAGTGTGAGAACTTTCAATACGGAAATTGTTATTTTCATGAATTGATGAGTTTGTGAGAACATCTCTCTGCTAAATTAATTGCAGCAATAAATAATATAAACAATGTAAAAATGAAATGTTGAGAGATTTGTCCTAGAGGGGAAAAAGAAAAAAAGAACAAAGAGGCGGGAGGAGGAGGTTTTACTTCAACAATTAAAATATGCAGGTTGGGGTGAGGGTACTGATAGAGCTTAATTGGTAGAGTGCTTGCCTCACATGCACAAGGCCCTGGGTTCAATCTCCAGAAACACACACTTGCACAAAAAAATGCAGGTTGGTTGTGAGATACTATTAGGAAGCTAAAAAATAAAGAATTAGATGAAAATAAAAGAATTAGATAAAACTAGTTTAAAAACTTACTAGTTTTTTTTTGTATATACTCTACCAAGTGTTTTTGTATTTTTTTAAAAAAATTCTGTAGTTCTTAAGTACTCCTTATTTATACAATCCAGAAATAAGTAACAGAAACAAAATAGAATTGCTTTACCTAAGTCTTAAGTATATAAGAATAATACAATTCTCAAGCTTTTTTAAAAATTTATTTCCCCAATACCATGTGGACCCAAGGACTAATATATCAAGTAATCTAGTACTTTTATTCAAAAGAATTAAAAGTTGCTATGAGATGGAGAGGGACAGGATCAAAAAGAGAGTAAAAAAAAAAAACCTTCACATGCTGCTGGGCATGGTGGTACACACCTGTAATCTCAGGGGCTCAGGAGGCTGAGGCGGGAGGTTGCAAGTTCAAAGTCAGGCTCAGCAAATTAGCAAGACCCTAAGAAACTCAGTGAGACCCTGTCTCTATGTATAATACAAAAATGGGCTGGGGATGTGGCTCAGTGGTTAAATGCCCCTGGGTTCAATCCCTGTACCGAAAAACTTCACATGATTTCTAGTTATTGTTTCTAAAAAAAAAAAAAAAAAGAAAAAGGAAAAAGTAAGATATTAGCTCAAAGAACTTATATTATTTTTGTACCAAATCTTTGAGAATATTCATTATAGATAATTTAAAATGTAAAACCCCAAAATCTCTGTTACATTGGCGAAGCAAAAATGTTGCCCCTATGTTATATACAGGGACAATTTACAAAAAGTCAGGTAACAACATTTTTAAGGAGACATTTGACTAAAAATAAAGCAAAAATTAAATAATATATTAAAGACATAATTTAGTGAATTTCTTTCAGTTGAATATTCTTTGAATCAATAAGCAACAAAGTGAAAGTAATTGCAGTATCTTCAAAACTACTTATATTGAAAAATGGTGGATAAAATACATTTAGTGCTGATAATTTTGAAATATTGCAAACTGAAGTTTTGGGCCCTTGAAATTGCATACATATGACAGATGAAAACTATTAAGAGGGTTACCGCTAAGAATATTTCCCCAGCAAGAAGTTTAGGAAGGGATCTGATCTGATATCATAATGGGTTCTATAAAAACCTTCAGACATCTTAAGAAAGGAGATTGTGAGGAAGCTTAATGAGTTGTAAGAGTTGGAGTTTACTGATTAGAAGATATAGCATATGGGTTTCAACAGGAATAGGAAACATTTTACTGATTATGAAAACCCTCAGAGCAAAGTTGATGGGTCTTAGACTCTTCACCTTCTTTTCATTCATGTTAATAATGAAAGGAAGTTTAATCAGTCAAAAAATGAATCAATAGGATTTAGATATAAATACAACAGATGTGAGCACGAACATAGAATGAACAGTGAAAAATTTAGAATGAAATACTGAAACTGGGTAACTATTGTATTATCCATTGATAAAAACTACCAAAAGGGGTGTGTGTGTTTAACTGCAGATGTGTTGACTTATCTACCACTGCTTTTTACAAAGATTATATTTAAAAACAAGTGATGAAGTACCACTAGACTATTTTTAGTATGAACTGAGCTTTTCCATTTTCTCTTTTCAATGAAGCTGGATTGTATGAAGGGAATAAGCTGCTTTGCTTGATCTTATCAGCCCACAGCCGATGAAGGAAGAATTTCTAATGGCACCTACGTCACTGGTTGTTAGAGAAATAGAATTGTTGGTGAGTCACACAGTTCCTAAGTTGCTCGAATACAATGACAGTTTTGGTGGGTATTTTGACAGTAAAGGAGTGCAAAAGGGCAGTGTCTTTTAAGCCTTTTTTCTGAAGGAAGCATAACTATACACTTATCGAATAAGGTTAGAAAAAACAGAAGGGGAAAGAAGAATGAATAAATTTCTTGATCAGGATAATGCTAAAAGCATTAGAAGATGCCAACATCAATACAATTATTGAATATGCTCTTTATACAAATGCATTGTTGGCCAGCAGAGAAATTTTCTTTGCCTGATAATGCCTTTTTAAACACTTAAAATTGAAAAACAATAAAGCTTAGTATTTCCAGTGACCTCCAACTTTCAGATTTAGATGTAGATAAGGTTTTTGAATCAAAGTCCTTGATCAAAGTTATGAAAATGGTTCTGGCAAAGCTGTGAGGAAACTAAGAGGCTTCCAAATTTTATCTTAAAATCAGTACCATAGGAATAGCATGTTCAAAAATGGAAAAGTGTTCTTTCTACCTTTTGGTTAGTAAGGAATTGTTTCAGAAGAGACTAATTGGATGTAGTCACTTGCGAGTACGTTGCTGGATACACTTAGCCAAGAAGAATGATGAAAGAGCTCTTTTTTTGACTATTAACACGTTTTATGCTCCTTAGTATATCTTTATTTCTGAGTCAAAACTGAAATAAACGAGCTATGGATAAAAAATGGGGTGAATATGGGAAGATGCCAGTAAGAACCATTCCATTTAAACCTTTCGTTTGTGCCAAAATAATTTTGTTTGAAATGCTGAATTCATGTGCTGTATAATTTGTTTGACATTCTAGGCTACAGATTTGGGGACAGAATAAGTAAAAAATAGTGAGCTAGCTTAGAAATTGGCAGGCTAAAGGAAAAGAAAGAGTCTAGCGTGAAACCTTTGGAGATACTTGGTCTTTTCAGGAAAGGAATATCAGGGTGAAAAGAGGGGGATCCTTTTCTTAAGGGAATAAAGATTAACAAAACCTGCCCAAGGTGGGTAACAGAATTGGAATTTCTGAAAGATCACTTTCAGGAAGAGTGTCTACCCCCGGTGTGGAGATGTACCTAGGGATTCCTTTAGGGGTGTTTAACATTTGGAAGTCACCCTGCAACACATCTGTGACTCAACAAATTATCACCAGCAGGCAGGGCCTTCTGGGATTAATCAGAGTGCAGCTGCCTGCAGAAGGAAGCCCAGTGATGACACCCAGGCTGGGCTAGTAAAGGGCTGGTAGGCTGCTGCCTGGAGAGAGCACTCTCCACAAAACCCAATCCAGCTGCCTGGCATCAAAGCAAAAAGGGAGCTGGAAGCCCTAAGCCCTAGTCCTAGACTCTCAGGAAATACTTTCCAGCACCCAATAAAGGCACCCATTTTTAAAGAGACAGTCCGTCTTTGTCCCTTTGTCAAAGTCTTCATTCCTCCATGTGCATTTAGCAGGTTCCATGGCTTCACAGTGTCCACACATCCTATTTTTCCCACCTGGCTCTGAGATACATCTGGGAAAAAGTTGGAGCTGTCCTCTTCCAAGAGGAAAAAAAAAACCAGAAGCTAAATTTTAATTATCAGAAATATCAAGGTGTTTTTGAGAACATTGTTCTCAACTTCAATAAAACTTTTTCAGCTCTTAAAAATCTTTGTATGATATATCAGAATCACGAATTTTAATTTTAAAAGGGATCATGATGAGCTTATTCAACATTTTCGTTTTATAGGCAATGGAATGGAGGTCTAGAGGGATTAAGTGACTTGCCTAAGGTCATTTTCATAAAAATGAAAAAAAAAAAAGAAAAGAAACTTGAACTAATTCTCTAGCTTTTAGATTGGGGGCAGGGAGTCCATTTCTTCACTCACTTCCTAACATATCACCCACTCCCCATCTCCAAGCTCAAGGCTCTCTCTCTTCTATGGATAGCTACATCCCCTCATCTGGGAACTTGACAGTTTGTAGCAGGGTAGGGAAGCCTATTAAAATGCATATTCTTTAAACATAGTGCTTGCATTTTAAACACAGTAGGAATAATAGTAAAGGAAGCAGTCAGTAGGAAAAAAGAGGAGGAACTTGGTTGTAAGGAAAAACAACTACTTTTAAATAAATCAAAGAAAGCTTAAGTATGTAACATTTGCCAATGAGGATATGATTAAATAAACAGAAAATCTGGGGTGTGCATAGAAATGGGGGAGATTTATATAAAAAATGTGGTCTGATAGAGAAAGTTGCATAGATAGAATGGAAAGTTTGGATGGGAAGCTGTGTAGTCAACAATTTGAGCTTAGATTTTGTATGTTTCTAAGTAAATGTTGATGAATGAAATTGCTAATAATCATTTAGTTAATTAGGATCTCATTTAGAGTTATATTCAGAAGGGAATTTAATATTTTTTTTATGGAACATCCTAAACCTTTTTAGATGTTTACATTTGTAAACTACTTCTTCTTCTTCTTTTCTTTTTTTAAAAAAAACACCAAAAAACAAAAAGCAAAATACTGATTTTATTTAGGCTGTCACTAAAAGACAAAGTAGCCAATTCATACATACTTTTAAAATGCAACCACATAATTTCCTCTGATGGGAATGAAATCTAACATGGCTAAAAGTATTTATTAACTTAACTGTTTATGTTAATGTGTTAAAGGGAACCTCCTGCTTATTAGAATAAAATGAATGCATTATTAGAAATTATGCTATAGGTCAAGCAGAAGATAGCTCTACACAATATTTTTGCTGAATAAGTAAATAACCTCTGTGGATTGACTTTCTAAAGGAGACATCAATTGAAACAAGTGATTAAACTTGATAATGGAATGTACAAATGATCCTAATTAATGAATTTCCTAATTTTTTCATGTTTATGGACATTAGTCCCATTTTGCACATCATCTGCATAAATATGCATGCCTCATGACTGGTGACACCATATCCTAAAGCAAATGATGTTCAGATATCTGTTCTGTGTCATCTGTGAATTCTGACATATCATTCTATCTTAAGCGGGAAAGTTCTAATCTCCCATATATATATATATATATATATATATATATATATATATATTTTTTTTTTTTTTTTGGTCCCCTGCCACTGACTAGGAGACTGTTCACTTGGCAAAGTCCCCAACCAGATCTAGATAAAACTGACCATTTACAAAACAGCAAATCTTCTGCAGCTTTGGATTAAAGATTGTGACCTCAATAAAAAAGAAATTCTACTTCCAAATACCCCTTCTCTTTGTAAATATGATAAACCGATGGCTATTTTGCTCATACTTTCTGACAGTAGTAAGATAATGTCACTCTTCAAATAAGTTCTTACTTATTGGTTACCTTTTGATGGGTTTATCAGCTGTCAGCAAATAAAGGATGACTATTTTGGTAAAGCCAGTCATGCCAAGCCAATAAATGAGAATATCTCTGTGTGGAGTTTTAAGCATTACAAGTAGGTCCCCTGGCACACACACAAGTCTGAGAAAATTAGAACTATATCAGTGCATTTATATGTCTTCTCAAACTTCATATACTTAATATAAAAACTGCTATTTCTCATGACCAATCCATATGTGGGCATAATGGCATTCCTACTTTATTAGGAAAATGGCATCAATGCCATTCATTGCCTCATATTCTACCAACTAAGTCCAGCTCATTATCCAGAAACTTTGGAAGTTCATAATTGGTGGCATTTTTTTTTAGTTTCAAAAATTATCTTTTCTTCTGACCTGACAGACTACCTTTCCTTTTTAAAATTCTTAAAAATATAGACAGGATTAGTCCACTTGTTTTTTCCCTCCTACATATAAAATATAACATCCTATGATTGATGATTATTTATTGGTATTTTAATGAGCAAGAAAAATACTTCATCGTGGGTATGTACTCTGATATTTTAAAAAGTGTGGGAAAAAGGTTATATTATTTCAAGAGCTTTAGTGAAACATTAGGAGAGTTCTATATTGCATGGACTATCTTGTGTTGCTAAAACTTTTTAACCTATGTGCTTTCTCATTCTCTTTAAGAATTTATAAAGCCCAATAAAAGTCAAATGTAGAAACAATCCCAAATATTAACAAAAGCCTTTTCTTTCATATTCATGAGAACATTCATTTGGGATTAGCAGTTGCATAAAAGCACAAATATACCCACAAATTTTATATTATACAGATGACATTGTAGAAGCAAAAATCTTTGCATTCATTGATACCTAATTTGGAACTCAAAAAATACTTGATGGTTCCTGAAAGAAAAGGGGGAGGAGTGGAGGTGGAGGTCGATAATGTCTGCCTTCAGATTTTTCCAAATGATATCTAGATGTCTCTAATTTGCTAGTTATGTTACTATTAGGCTAATGTTCACTTCTGTTCCAGAGGTATGGAATTTTTGTGGGTAAAATAATATGAAACAAGCTCAGACTATGGTTTAATGAGGATAGGGTAGGACTACACTTGCCCTGCATATTTGCATTGAGTTACATGAGAATGTAGACATTGATTCTTACATTTATAGAACATCTTTTTTTATATTTAAAATTCATTTTTATTCAGCCCTTTTTCAAGCATGCTTCAACGTATTTATAATAAATGAGAATACATATAAACCTTCCAGAACATCTCTGGGAATACAGAATTATATTAATGACACTCTTAATGTCATTTATTTGACATGGGATCTGATTATGCCATTAAAGACCTAGTTCCTCTGATACTCACACAGGGATTAGAAATAACTGAATTGGGGAAACATCCCAGAAACCAGGAATAGTTATTTTTAAATTCAATGGTAGAATTCACACATTTAAAATGGTACAATTCACAGTTTCTCCTCTTCAGGAATGTTAAATCTTGTTTGAGAGGAAATTCATATATTCATGATAAATTAGAAAACAATTTGGAAGCAATCTGTAAAATTTATAGAGAGTTACAGTCTGTATGTGTCATTCTGAGGCAATTGAACACATGGGAAAAATCACTGTGAGCTGGTGTTAGTTGAG